TGTGGCTTGGCAAAAGTACCAGCCAGTTCCCTCAGGACCTTGGGTTGCATCTCATCAGGCCCACAGACTTGTACCTATTCAGTTTCACCAAGTAGACACAAACCTGCGCTTTACTTACAGTAGGAGGAGCTTTGCTTCTCCAGCCTCGTCTAGAGGTTCAGGGGTAGATATTTGTTTTCATTGTGGCTCATTTGGATCAAATCTAAGAGAAGTCAAAAGTCTGTTACATTCTTATAACTTTGAAAATAACTGTTGAATTTGAAATAGCTGAATTCATAACCTCATAGTCCAGCAAAACATTGTCAAAATAAAATCGTAGATATCCAAGGTGCATAATTTTCTCACAGCTTGGAAGAATAGTCTCAGTAGTTCATAAAACCAGAATATCAATTACACCAGAATACCTATACTTTTTAGCCTTGATTTAGGAAAGCATTTGAACATATCTGTTTAAACTTTTTAAAAATTAAGATATTTTCTTCAAGTGTCAATGGCTGTATTCAAATTATGGGAATCTTGCAATGTTTCAAGTTCCTGGATTTGAGTTCATGCTTCAGGTGCAGACTTCCTTTTATTTTCCTAGTGTGGCTCCACAGTTGTTCCTAATCTGTGTCAACCATCACCATCCTGCCACTGCAACTGGATTTGTTATTTGCAAATTCTCTCTCCAGCCTAAATGAACCATATCAACCTCTCTGGTAAAAACAAGGGAATATCAGAAGAAAAATAGAAGAAATGTCTTCTTTATCTTCTGGAGTGCTGTACATGTGAATTCCTAAGTGACAGCATAGAAGACAAACCCAGTATTTCAGCATATTTTTCCAACATCTATTGCGAATAGATTGCTCACTGTATTAGTTTAGTGCGTAAAATGAATCCCAAAATAAATGTTTCTACACCCAGAAAGTACCACCTTCATTAAACAAGAAAACTTTCAGAAGTGTTATTATTTACAGGTTTTTACTCATAGAGTATCTTTTTGAATGGCTACAAATGTAATATTGATGAGACTGTATCTGCAATAACATGTCAAGTTATGGGCTCACCTGTACAAGAAGGACGTTGTAGTGGTTTGGACTTTGTTTTCCCCCAGAGGCTA